AGGCTGACCTGGAGCATTGTTCATGTTATAACTGCAGGTAATTGTTAAGTACAGAATTATCTCAATTTTGAATCCAGGGCAGATGATACCTAGATATTTGGAATGTCTACTCTATGCCAGGTGTCCTACAAAACATACTCCTGAATGATCACCTAAGCTTACAAAGCTTGTTTATGGCACCATACATGTGTTATATGTGGTTTTACATGCAAAAGGCATACTATATAAAACACCAATAAAACAGAAAAGCCCCTCTATCCTTTGAAAGGTTATTTTATAGTATAATTTTTTTGTATTAGTGCTCATAGCTGTAAAGTTCAATATGGAAAAAGTAATTGCTATATTAAATATTTAAAAATATTATTAGAAAGTTAAACTTCAGTAAAGGGAGGAGGAAAGCAATAATGAGTGGTGAAATGAATATACAGGATTTGGTATTTTAAGAATACTGAACCTGTAACCCTGGAGCTACTAGATAATATCAAATATAAGAGCTGGATAATATTTCATATTGAGTTGATCATATTAACTAGTTGGCCTACAAATACGCACTAAAAGTGTTACTAACATCTGATAACCAACAATATTGTTCAAATACCAAGTGCAGTGAATTACGTGCCTTACATGGACCTAGGATTACATACAATTATATTATGTAATGTTATGGTAAAAAATTCCTTATTGAAACCAAAATGTTGTCTAAACATCTTACCCATAATTTGATTTTTAAATGCTATATAATTAGCTCAAGGTTACTTCTGTTCAATGAGTTAATTTTACAAAGCTCTGTGAAGTTAGAAAATATGTCATTCAAAATAGCTTAATAAGACAGGCTAACTCTAGAGCATTTTAGACGCAGCCGTGTTGCATATTTCTGTGATAAATCTCTTTGGTCTTTTTTTTTTTTTCTTTTCACTTTTCTTGCGCACTATTTTATCTGTTTTCCTCACTCTTTTAAGAGCATCTCTGTGAAAATCAGCTGACTTTCCTAGTCTGCCCTTCCAGGGAGCCATCTGTCAGGGCATGATGCAGACATCTGAAATGTCATTTATCTTGACCTTTCTCAAACAGATGCTTTTAGTTGTTCTACAGTTTCCCTAAGTTAGACACTCTAAAAATAATTATGCTTCACTAAAACATTACAGGACATTTTACAGCAAAAGAGTTACATTCCCACATAACCCTCATGCAATACTTTTTTCTTTACTCACATATCATTTGAGCCTCTCTGTATATGCACCCCTCTTTTTTTACTCATATAATTAAAGGAAAATAAATCACTCACTGTAATTTGGAATCTAATTTCCTCTTTTAGCATTATTTTGGAGCCATTTCCCTGTTGTAATATAACCTTAATATTCAAATGGGGATGTGCAAAATTCCATAAAATTATATTATTTTTAGTAAGCCATTTCACCCATAAATGGGAATTTCAGTGCTTCAGATTTTCTCTACTCTAAGTAAAGATGAAATGACTATCTTTGTATACAACCTGAGAAGGTGACAAAATATACTGTGATCCAGAATTTGCTTCTAGGACAATCTGGCCACCCCATTTCCCTGATTCTATATTTATGTTTCTAATAACATGCTGAGACTGATAATAGATTATTCCCCCAGATTTATTTATTGTTTTATTCTTATCAAACTCTTATAATAAAGCCCTTACTATAGTCTATATGTTGTTTTACACACTTATTAAATATTAATTCATCTAATCCTCATAAAATCCAATGAAGATTATTATCTTCATTTTTCAGATGAGGAAATGGAGATGTGGGGTAGTCAAGTAGCCTGCCCAAGGGCATATAGCCAGTAAAGGCAGAGCCATTTTGGGAACCCAGACCACCCAGCTCTTGTACAATGGACTGCCTCTCACGATCAGAATATCGGAGAGGATTTTTAACTAGTTGCCCAGTAAAAACTGGTTGGCACCACTGTGACACTGTTTCCTCGACCAGCGATGTTACCCGATATAGAAAAATAAGAGAAAGACAGCTGAGAGTTTCTGCTATGGTACCTTGTGGCATCCTTAGCCATGGTTAGTTCTTGTCCATGAAACATACTTAGGAAGTAGTTTTAGCTCAATCCAGCATACCTTTATTGAGGGACTGTTATATGTAAGGCACATTTAATACAGATGCAGACATGAAGTGCAGTGCAGTAAGCCAAACGTCTACCCATCCGCCAGCTCAGTGCCCTAAATAATCTGCTGTATTCGGGCCAAACCTTGGGAGGTGAGGGTCTATCTAAAACAGCTGAAGACATTTTGTCCAGCATGTTTGCAGTACAACTTTAACTCAGAAGATCTATGAGAAGGCAAAGTACTTCTGGGCCAATGGTAAGCATAGATCCAGAAGAATGAGCTTTTCTGGGATCATCCTGAATATGAGAGTGACATGTCTGTGAGTGTGTCCCAGACTGAGATTTCTACATGTCCTGTTGCAGAACTTTCGTGTTAAGTGTGGGATGCTGATTATTTTTACACTAAAAGAGGTTTGCTTAGGCTTGGTATTCTAAGTTTAATGTAGCAAATTTTAGGACAAAATCCAGCTTGAAACAGATTGCTGACTATTTAAGTAGAGAAGTTGACTTAACTGGAACAAAAAAGAAAAACATTTCTAGTTAAAAAAAAAAAAAGCTGGAGAAGGGGAGCAGTTAGAGTGGGAGAAAAACATATCTGTTAGAAAGAGCCAAGACACACAACTTAAGGGGAAAACATCTCCACCCAGCAGGAAACCCAGCTGACTTTAAGAAATACCACAGAAAAAGAGATATGCTATAAGACTCTTCATTGCATCATCTTAGCTAAAGACTCATAGATATGTTTAGGGACCAAAGGATACAGCCTTAGAAGTGTTCATATTCTTGGTGACAGTTTGAGTTTCTGTGCATTTATAGCATTGATGGTAATGCAGTGACTCAGAATACTGTAAGGTTTTTTTGCCCATTAATTGAGTGTCAGCAACATTAAGAGCATTTTGAAGAGCAGCGGCTATGCCTAGGTGTCTCTGCACAATTATATTTGGATTTAGGACAACAAAAGCAATCCATACTTTTAACTCTGGACAGGGGAAGAACAGAGACGAAATTCATGTTAAAACACAGGGCTCTTCTAATATTGTAAAGCCAGGATTGGTTTGGATTGGGGCTTAGAGTTCCTGTAAGTTTGATGAGTATGATGAGGAAGCTTTGAGATTCTTCAGAAATTTCTGAAATTGTCCCAAAGAACGGAAAGAAATCACTGAGTGAGAATTTATATGTATGGTGGAACTTTGAATCAGAAAGGTGGATTTGAATCTAGGATCCTCCCTTTACTCACTATTTATCTTTGGATCACACATCATGCTGTATTAGGCATCTGTTTCCTCATCTCAAAGCTATGGTACAGGGCTGTTGAGAGGATTCAGTGAGGACATAAGAAAGCACTCAGTATAGTGTGTATGGTGTAGCAACAGTTTCCTTCCCAGGTATCATAATTCTGCCATCTTGCCTTGCTGTGGGACAGATAAGATATTTTAGATGATATAATACATGTTTGGGAAATAGCAAAAACAAAAGTATTTTAGAGTGTTTGATAAGCTTTCTAAAATGTTTTAATAAAGCATTAAAGGTAGTTTTCTGTCTTAATCCATTGCCCAGTTTGAGTCTAATGTCTTTAATTAAGGAATGTTCCAAACGGTGTTGAAAAGCCCCAATGACTTTTTAAGGAAATATCCCTAGGCTGTGAAACATTGGGAATTTTTTCATATCTTTATTGAAGAGCATCTAAATACAGTCATTAAATATGGTCTATTCAACACTGTCTTTTCATTCATGTACTGTATCTGACCCATGACTGTCTATTTGTGGCTACATATATCACACAGGATGGAGAACCTGAAATAGAAACAAAAGGACATAGTGGTTGAAAGCCACCAAGGTCACACATGGGATCATGACAGCGAAAGATGATAAGATCAAGGATGTAAGCAGGGCAGTTAGTCATAGGAAGTAGGAGGAAGTAGGTGGCTATTGTGGAAGGAGAGAGGAAGCTGTAGATCAAGGAACATCAATAAACCTAAAGGTAAAGGTCTTATAAGAATTATCCACAAGGAAAACAAAGATTCCTATAATTTTTTAAAATTCGCATCCTAAGAAGAAAAGCTTCATGAATTAGAGAACAAAGAAGAATTATACTAAATTATTCAGTGTTATGTACTCTTTTTTCATAAATATCAATCCTATCTTTTGCATTTCAATTACATCTTGATTAATTTAATGCTTACCAGGTCACCATGGGTCTCATAGTTTTATAAGTACATATTTTGTAGGAACAAACACATTATGAGCACAGATCCCACAAGTCATGGATGCATACTTTAATCCTTCTTCATTTTTGAAGAATGCCTGACTTCCTCCTCAACATTTTTAGGATTGTAATTTTCTGAAAGAGATTTTCGTTGGACAATGATTACTATTACTCAATTACATTTTCCTGAGCTGGTTAAAATTCATGGAAATAGTGTTGGCTTTTTATTTAATGTTTAACTGTGATACATAAAATATCATTTTTATTCCTAATGTGTTCACAACTATAGTTTTATTTTTATTATTATTGAATTGACCAGTAAAATCAGCAAATTGAATTATAAGCACTAGCTCTGGAAGATAATAATCATTTCAAGAAGGCCAGACTTGCCAGCTCTGTACTATCTTAGTTGCACAAAAGTGCACAGGTAGATGTATCAGTTTAATATAAAATTAATTGGTAGACTGAAATGACCATCACTTTATTTTAAAATGATCAAAATAGTTATTCAGGTTTTTGACTAAATTTATCCAGTGGCAAAATCAAAGTTATGAGCCAATAATAGCTCAGTCATCAGTTTCAAAATTCAAATAATCAGTATATTTTTGGCTTTAGCATGTATGTTACTTAATCTCCTGAATTCAAGAGACTTGCAAGTTTATAATGGACTCTATCGTGGCATTTAAATTATATCTTTTCCTTTTTTTAGGTGGACCTTCTGGTCCCTACCAAAGTAACTGGCATCATTACACAAGGAGCTAAAGATTTTGGTCACGTACAGTTCGTAGGCTCCTACAAACTAGCTTACAGCAATGATGGAGAACACTGGACTGTATACCAGGATGAAAAGCAAAAAAAAGATAAGGTAAGTGATGTGAGTGGTTTAGAACAGGCAGAAATGGAGGACCAAACTGAATCCAATTTTGATTGAATGAACTACTTATACATAGGTATTAAAATTAATGGCTATATACAACTGAAGAATGTATGTTAAATAAAAAGCTTTAACATTTTCCATATTATCAATTATCCGAGATCCACCTAAGTAAAATTTGCTTATATTCTATAGAAACTTGAATAATTTATCATAAAACACATGTAAATAGTTATTGTTTGAATACTTACCACTATTAATTTTACTTTTTTAAAAGATTTTATGTATTTATTTAATTTTAGAAAGAGAGAGCACACACGCATGGGAGTGGGGTAAGGAGAAGAGGGTGAGGGAGAGGGAGAGGGAGAGGATCTCAAGCTGACTCCTGGCTGACTGTGGAGCCCAACACGGGGCTTGATCTCATGACCCTGAGATCATGACTGAGTTGAAACCAAGTCGAACACTCAACCAACTGAGCTACCCACGTGCCCCTAATTTTACTATTAAAAACATTACTGTTATTAGAAAAAATGTTCTTTGGCAAAAAATATTTCAAAAATTAACTAAAAGATATTTTAATTATGTATTTCTTTGATTATTTTGACAATTAGGATTTTTAGAAAGGGACAAATTTTAACTATTATACTAGTTTATCAAAATTAAAACATAGGCTGTTTCTCTGCCCAGTTTCCTTGATTGCATTTTAATTCATGGATTTATTCCATTATTTGACCTGTGTAACTGTTTTAATATAATAATAGGTATACATATATACATATATATATAATTGCACCATACAATTCTACACATATTATATCTAATTGTTTTTCTAAAAGTTCTTACATTTTAAACATCTTTCCATAATATCTCCTGGTCCAAATTTCTATAGGGCCCCAGAAAATGAAAGTGCTCAGGCTTCCATATCAATAACTAATTCATTCAGATGTTAAAATGTAGTCTCAGTTGGACCAATGAAATTGAAACTCATTCATTGCTTAGAGTGTTTGTGCAAAGAACTCTAACTTTCTAAAGACATAATGGAAACAAATATCTTAGTTCAAGGATTTGGGGGAAAATATAATATGTTAAGTATTTCTGAGTTAATAATGACTTTATCCATTTTATGTAGCCCTTTCATTCCCTTATTCTTATCATATTATTAACCAGTAGAAAGTTAAGAAAATTATTTTTTTTAAGATTTTATTAATTTGAGAGAGAGAGAGAGAGAGAAAGAGAGTATGAGCGGGGGGAGAGGCAAAGCGAGAAACAGACTCCCCACTGAGCTGGGAGCCCAACATGGGACTCAATCCCAGGACCCTGAGATTATGACCTGAGCCAAAGGCAGACGCTTAACTGACTGAGCCATCCAAACACCCCAGGAATATCTTTTTCAAATATCCAAGCAGAGAATTTATAGATTTTCCCAGCAATACTAAGCCTGGAATGGCTATTCCAGTGAGTCAACACAGTCTGAATTCAGTTCACATAAAATTCACTTTAGGGGAGACGTATTTTTAGGTTTAGATTATAAAATCCACCCTATTTACCTTTTAACATCTCAGGACACACTCATTTAACATCTCAGGATACATTCATTTAACATCTCAGAACATACACACACACACACACACACACACACACACTATATTTTAACATCTCAGAAATTGTTGTATCTTACAATGTCACAATTAAATTGGGAGCATTTAATATTTTCTAGAAGAACCTAAAATAATGGCATGTTTTCTAATCAATAGCATCTTAGACTGAAAGGATATAGGGTTTTTTGTAAAACTGTCTTCAAATGTATTTGTGAGCTGTAAACAGATATCTGCCATGATTTATGGCTAATAACTGTTTCAGTTTCTACCTTTTACTTTTTTACAGTAGGCATTCTGATGCATAGAGAATGAAAATATATTCCATAAAATGAAGCTTTTTAAACTTCATAAATTATATAGCTCTTGAAATTAATTTTAAGATAGATAAATATTCTCATTCATTATCCATGTGTAATATTCACTAAAAAGCACATCTCTAGGGGCACCTGGGTTGCTCAGTCAGTTGAACGTCCAGCTCTTAGTTTCCACTCAGGTCATGATCTCAGGGTCGTGGAATTGAGCCCTACAAGGGGCTACTTACTCAATGGGGAGTCTGCTTGAAATTCTCTCCCTCTCCCTCTGCCCCTCATCCCTGCTCTCTCTCTCCTTCTCTAAAATAAATGAACAATTTTTTTTAAAAAAGCATATCTGTAATAGCAAAATCCTTATATAGATTGATTTAGGAAAGAAGTATAAAGAAAAATATGATTAAATTGTACTGATGAAATACTTTTTTGTCTCCATTTGCATTAAGCATGTGATTTCATGATTCTATGTGAATATTTTTTTTAATTTTTCCCTTAGTAATAGATGATGCATTTGCATATTAGTGCATTTCATTTCATTATCTTTGTCTGAAATGTATGTAAAATTTTTGTCAAGTTGACCAAGATTTTCTATATCCTTACTGATTTTCTACTTGTACTAGCAATTATGGAGAAAGCAATGTGCAAATCTCCAACTATAGTTGTGGTGTTCCTGATTTTTTCTTGCAGTTATATCACTGTTTGTTTGATGTATTTTGAAGCTCTGTTGAAAGATGCATGATCAGTTAGGACTGTAATGTCCACTTGATCAAACAGCTCCTTTATGAATAGAAAATGACCTTCTTTATCCCTGGAAATATTTTTTGATCTGGAATCTGCTTTGCTGATATTAGTAGAGGTACTTCAGCTTTCTTTTTATTTATGCTATGTTGGTGTGTGTTTTTTCATCCTTTTGCTTTTAACCCATTTGTACCTTATATTTGAAATGCATTTCTTCTGTGCAGCATAAAGTTGAGTCTCTTTTTTTTTCCCAATCCTGCCATCTCTGCTCTTTAATCAGAGAATTTAAACCATTTATATTTGATATGAATATTGATTATAATTGGGTTTAAATCTGTCATATTTCTGTTTATTTTCCTACTTGTTGCATCTTTTCCATTTTTTTTCTATTTTTCTGTCTTCTTTTGGATTAATAGAATTTTTTAATGATTCCAGTCAGGGTTTTTTCATTGTTGACTTACTTGCTATAACTTTATTTTTTATTACTGCAGTGATTTCTGTAAGATTTGTAGCATACATTTTAAACTTACTAGTCTACCTTCAAATTAATGCAGAACCCCAGAAACCTACCTCTAGAAGCACAAAATAGATCTTATAAATGCATGTTCTTAGGAGCCACATTTATTATAACATTTGATTTTGACATTCCCCAAATACATCTTACCATAAAGAAAGAAATAGGCTCCCACTAGGCAAGTTCGTCAACTATGAGAGTAAATTGATACCCAGTGAAAAGGATGTAGGCCGGAATTCTTATGTGAGACAATAAATCAGCTTCATCTATCCAATATAAAAATTTCTGAAGAATTAAACCATTTTAATGTTATATATATGACAATCAGCTAAACCCAGACCATGTAACTGGTAGTTTTAAAATTAAATTTAGCCAATTTGTTTATGGTATTATAACTAATTCAGTATGATGAAGATAAGCCTTAGATAAGTTTACTATTTGTTACTGAAGAAAACAACAAACTCCAATAAACTGTACATAAGAATACAGCAACTACAATTACAATAAAGAAATACTTTATAAGAAGTAAGAGCAAAAGTTCTTTGAACTCTTGGAAATAGAGGCATTATATACACATATATATAATACACACAGAATATATATATATATATAATACACACACATATTTGTATGTATATATATTCCAAAGTATACATATATCACTCATAATATATATGTGTGTATATATATATACATATATATACAAATAATTGTGCTTTATTATTATTATTACTATTTGTACTAGGTATTTTACCTATAATTTTATATCTTCTTCCTAAGTGTGCTCTTCTTCTTTACAGAAGGCTTCCACAACTTAGTAATTAATTTTTCTGAATAAGCCATTTCCTATTGATTCCTAATATTATTTGTGTCTCGCTTTCCATGGTTACTTTCCATAAGGGAAAAAGTCTTCAGTATTTACAAATGCAAATTCAACTACAAACTTTCATCCACACAAATATTATAAATGAATTGAATGTTTCAGGGCAAAGCATGTGCTTGTGAAATGTTTTATGTATGTACATTTCAAAAGGAAATATTTACAAACAAAATTTTTTGATTTCTTTTTTGTATCTTTACGTTTTTACCGATTGCTTGCTCTAATTAGATTTTAGGGCTGTAGGTGTGGATGTCTGCTATAGATCCAAAACAAGATTACTTCAGAAAAACAATTTCAAAATAAGCAATTTTCTAGGTTTACCACAGTGGTGTAAATGAAATACTAAAAAGGTATGAATGCTGAATTTAAAAAAAAAAATGTATGAATGCCCTTTCTGTTTCTCATAACTGACTAAGCCTCAGGAAAGCAATGCCAAGGAAAAAGCGTATATGTACATAGGCATGTCTAAATGTACGTGTCAGTGTATATGTATGTATGTGTGTGTGTGTGTGTGTGTGTGTTTATGCCAAAAGTCAATTAAAGACAAATTCCTGTTCTCTTCATTGAAATGTCAGTTTCTCACTATCTTCCCAGAGCCTTTATAAGAATTGCAATTTACTTTAACATTTTATTTTTTGACAAAATTCCACATTATGTCTTTCATGATGGAGCATGTGATGATACTGTCTCCTCACAATCTCTACATTCTTATTTTTCTCTTTCTTGTCTACAATATTTTCTAACATTTAACTAACTTTTATATTTCTCTACACCATGGATTCAGATACATTTTTTATTTGAAAGTCAAATGTTCCTTTGCTCTCATGAGAGTGACATTTGTTTTATACTCTTGGAGCTGTTTTTTACTGCAGTTAGGAGGAAAATTGCAAAATTTGACAGACACTTCCAGTATTTAATTTTTAAGGTTATAAGCCAAAGTAAAACAATAATAA